TCTGATGAGGTTGATTTAAGTTGAATTCTGTTGTGACTGTTGTTTGAGCCATGGTCATCAATAAAGTATTGGTGTGAAACGGATTTGGATTGGTTAAAATGCATTATTTTACATTTCCTAATATTTATTTCCACAAGCCATTCTTGAACCCAATTAATAATGTTGTCAATATCAGCTTGCAGACAAATGTTTTGTTCTACAGTGCTGACCACACTAAGGATTTTTATGTCGTCTGCATACATTCTGCAAATATATATATATATATATATATATATATATATATATATATATATATATATATATATATATATATATATATATATATATATATATATATATATATATATATATATATATATATATATATATATATATATATATATATATATATAAGGATTATTTTTGTATGTCTCCAAAACATTTAATAAATGCACAGTTGAGGCATTAAAACAAATTCTGAAAAAATAAACTTGATTTAGTTTCTTCTGGTTTTTTAATATAAAACGTAGTGTGCAAGTTAGTGTATTATTGGTGACTGATTGCTTCCTTTTACTTAAACTTCATTTGAATAAAATATGTCAAGAGATATCATTATGAAAAACATATTTATAAAGAAAATAACTTGATGCTATGATGTTAACACTGTTTTTGTTTGATAATATCGTTGTGATCGTAAAGGTCTTTTAATATATATCATTTTAATAAAATCATTTACTAATTTAAAACTTTTTAAATACTTATTTCTTCATTCCAATATTATGTATAATATGTATATTTCAATTTTGGGATAAAAAAATTTTGAAAACATTGAAACAAAGGAAAAACAGCATTAAATGTAAAATTTTTAATTTATTGAAACTTAAAAAAAGTTGCATTTAAACTCTTTTGAAAAAATTAAATATATACTTTTTTAAAGCCCATTTTCGCTCCAAGGTTGGGGCAAAATAGGGTTTTGCATGAGTCATGGAAAGAACTCTTTTAACATTAAAATTGTTCACTATTTATGCAAAACTCACTCACAAAGTTTAGGTTTTATTTTTTTCCTCTATCCGCGAGCAGGAATTTTTGCTTTACAGTTGTCTTTATTAATCTATTGGCAATTCGATTTTTCAGAATTAATCAAGCGCTGGCAGAACGTGTTTCATAAATAATTCATGATCAGCTAGAACACTTGACATGTTTTTCCAATTGCTATTCACTTTAATTATTGGTTTGACTTTTAGAAATGAGAATAACCAACAGCAAAAACAAAACAAAAAAGCATTTTTATGGTTGTAATAAACTAGCCAATGAGTATTCACCATTTTGTAACTTCTTCACTATTCACTATTTTATAACTTATCAGAGAAATGCCACTTTTCAAAACTCTAATCTTGCGGATACTTTGTTCCTGAACCACGATTCTTTTTTCGGCCAAGTAAACATGTTCTTTATCACTAATTGAAGATGGCTATAAGGTTGCATCTTTCCAATCAAAGTCAATATTTTGCCTTTTATTTGCTTGAATTTGTAAATCACAAAAAAATCACAAGAAAATAAAAGCTGTTGGAAAAGAAAATCAAGGAGAAAAATATATAAAAAAAGAATGTACTGCCAGAATTGTATAATGAAGACAAAATTTCCAGTAAAAAGGAAGGAAGTGCTTTTTCTAGACAAAATAAAAATTAGGATATTAGAACACCCTAAAGTTTCTTTAATGGCTAATAGGTTGAAATTATTGGACTAAGATCTGGGATCAACAGCATTCATAGATTCTGTAAAACTATGAAAATTATTTGTAGCAATGATTTTTGACACAACTCCATCAAAAATAGGTTGGATAAATGGTTCTGCAAAGTTAATTGAAGAATACTTCTATAAAAAGTTACTTTGATCTGCCTACAGACACAATATCTTAGAAAGAGTTTTGTCTTCTGTTTACTCAACAATTTTTTGGAAATCTCAAGCTTCAAATTACAAGCCATTTAGACACTTTAAAAATGATGTATGGCCTAAACATTTATTAAGTTTAGATATCAATTTTAGAAAAATTAAAATAGAGGAGCCAGCCTTAAAGACCAAACAGAAGTAACAATTTTTTTGTTTGGTTTACCGGAAATTAACTTCACTGAAAATTTACTTAACGGGAAATCTCAGAAACTACCAAGACATTATTATAAAGAATGTTGCCAACTTGCTTTGCAACTATTGAATGTAAAACAAATGTGGTGTAAACCTGGGGCTTTCCATCATGCTAGATAGATGTGTAAAATTTTGTACGCATTAAAAATGTTTGCTTGTTTACAAATTTTTTCTTATGTTTACTGTATTGGCAGAGTGTGAAAAAGTTATAGAAAGAAACTAACACGGTTTTGTAATTTTACAATTTTAATTTATCTTAAAATGTGGCTTACATGTATATAGTAATATGGCATATTGCTTACATGTATATAATAATGTTAAAACCAAATACTTGTTTAACCGATTAGTTGAACCAAAATCAAGCAACATTTTAAATATGGATATTTAAACAATTATGGTGGTTGGTTAGCCCAATCCCCGATGTTTTGGAAGGCTAACGCCATTTTTTTACACATGTTGGAGCATATTAAATCATTGAAATCTGTAAATGATCAAAACGAGCTGTCAAACTAATTCAAGACTATGCAAAATCTATTACCAAAAATGAAGAGCAAAAAAAATTTCACCACAGAAAAGTTCCTCCACAGATAAATAAACAAGCAGTTTTTGAAAATTTAAGCAATTCATATATATATATATATATATATATATATATATATATATATATATATATATATATATATATATATATATATATATATATACATATATATATATATATATATATATATATATATATATATATATATATATATATATATATATATATATATATATATATATATATATATATATATATATATATATATATATATATATATATTTGTGTTTTTTTTGTTTGTTTTTTTTGTAAAGAAATACCAAGTGAAAAAATTTGCATAAATTACCGTATAAAATTTTAAGTAAATAAATCTATTTAAATATGAATTTTAATCATTAATTTAAAAAAACTTTTGTTTTATGTTTGTTTAGATTCAGTAGCGGAGTTGGTTGAAAAAGGCTCTATACCGGCGGAAAAGTTGCGTCGATGTCGAAATATAAACAGGTGGCATTTATACGTTATGCTTTCCCAAAATGTTTCACTTCAGAAATATCGTTATCATAGGTTAAAGAAAACAACTCAGTTATCAGTTTCTGGTATGCTATTCAACATTCAATCGTCAAATTATGTTATACCCATTAACAACGTATCATAGGAATATTTGTGTTATAAACTTTAATTATGGAACGATTGTTTTAAGAAACAAAGCACTGTTAATAATAATAGACATTGTTTAGAGAATTAATATAGCTACTCCAGTTGATATTTTTTTGCAAAGCCTTTCACATTCGAAAAATGTAAAAGTCTAATATCAAATTTTGCATTTATATTTTTCTATTTTTTAGCTTTATACTATTTAAGATAATAATTTATTTTCAAAATTTAATCTTAAACTTTCTATTATTTGACCCTCTCTCCTCCCCCTTTAAAATTACGTACGCTTTTGAAATACTCACCCCCCCCCCCCCCAAAAAAAAAAAAAAAAAAAAAAACTTTTTTTTTTGCGGCACAGGATCCCAATTTAAAAAGCGTCTTCAAATATATATGCAAATATTAATTTTAATAAAGTTAAATTAAAAGTTAATAAGTAGTTTGCTTGTTGGAGCGGTAAATGCTGTGGACTGCGGCGACAAAGTCCGGTGTTTGATCCCCGGTCGAGCCATTCTGTACTTTTTTTGTTTTAATGAAAAATAAATTATACTTAAGACAGACATTTTTTTTCAGGCACCCCTTCTTAGTAAGTCCGTAAAAAAGGAGTCTTACGCGAGAGCAGTAATATCGAAAACAAAACCTAAAACCCAGTGTCTGAGATAGATGGGGGAAGGGAGCAAAAGATTTTGTCCCTTTTTGCTAATTTAAGGAGCTTTTTATTTTAGCAAAACCTAGCGGTAAAATTTAGGAGATTTTGAGACCCGAATGACTTTTTTTTTTTTTAATGAGGGGGGGGGGCTCTAACTTAGTAGCCACGGCACTGCTAAAATCTGTTTTTTGTCGACTCAAAAAATAGGTTGCCCAAAATACATCTTACTCAGGGCCTGTATATAAGGAGTGGCATGTGTGCATGGGCCCGCAGGATTTTTTGATGTTCTAGGACACTTTCACACATTTGGCATAGGTATACTTAAGTTTGGAGTTTGCACAAACTCCAAACATAGGTATGCTCATGCCAAATGTGTGAAATTTGTGCAAGCTCTAAAACTTAAGTATAAGGGATCGTCCATAGAGTGCCTACGCTTGGAAGGGAAGAGGGAGTCTACAAATGGCGTATATGAGATGGGAAGGAAGTGGGTCAATTATAAAAAAAAGGAGACATTAAATTAAAAAAAAAATCATAAAATGTTAGATAAATAGGTTAAAAGCGTAGGTTATTTTAGGGAGGTGGAGGGAACTCAAAAAAGCGTATTGCAAAATGCGGAGGGGAGGAGGAACGAAAATAAAGCGTACGTATTTTATGGACTACCCCTAACTGAGCTAAATAAGGAGGCCTTGCAAAAAACTATGATGGCGGAGGCCTGGGAACAAAAAGGTTTGCACCTTCCCTTTGCCCAAGCGTAAGGTCACTAATGTAGTAAAATTTAAACTTTACCATCTAAAGCTAAAATAAATTTATTTACAGATTTTAAATTTCATAAAAAAATATTGTAAAATACAAAAGTTATGACCATACAAAATTTACATCCCGCCCCTCTTTTTTTTTTGGAGGGGGGAAGGCGTTTTAGAGCTTTTTTACTCCCAGGCCTCCGCCTTCTTAATTTTTGCAAGGCCTCCTCATTTTGCATAGGTATAAACATACTTAAGTTTGGAGTTTGCACAATGTGTGAAAATGTTCTATCTAGAACATCAAAAAATCCTGCGGGTCCATGCATGTGCATTGAGGAAAACTATACCCTCTACTCCTTATACCAAACATCTTTTTATGTTGGCAAACTAGGATCTTTATTCAGAATTTTAACTTTACTATTGATTAGCTGGTTAGTTGTAATAAATTAGAAATTCGATGTACGTACATTTAAATTGAAATATTAAAATAGCAGCGGTGGCGCAGTGGTTAGACTTCTGGCTCAGAACCCAGAGGTCCTAGGTTCGACGCCAGCTCTAGCCAAACAAACAACATAGTACGGAAGGAGGCGTGAACTTCCTGTTAAATGCTCTCCCGCGGTGCTCTATGATAAGACCGCAAGGACCTCTGGGAGCACCTATATACATACAAAAAAAAATAATAATAAATAAAAAAAAAAATAAAAAAAAAATATTTTATATTAAAAAAAAGCAGAAGGGATGTTATTGTGTGTCAAAGTACAACAAAAAGTTCAATTAAAGAAGAGTACTTTCTTTTGTTATTCTAAAAAGCAAAACTTTCTTATGGTGTTTTAAACGTTCTGGCTCTGCATTGAATTTTACACCATTTGCTCCTATACACCATTTGCTTGACATGGGTTAAGACGGGGCATGGGTAAACGGTGAAATCTAATTGTACAAACGCCATATTTCTCAACACTCTTAATAATATTGTCTTTAACTTAAGTTTTCAATCTTTATGTATAAAGTAGATTGTCGGTATCATTCAAACAAACATGTGTAGTCTGTCTTTTCGACTTGAATACAATCACCTATCCAGATCACTTCGTTAGCCCATAAAAATTGTAAGTCCATTTCACAACAAAAAGTAAAATACATGTAGTAATCTAAAATTGGAAGCGGTTTCAATAGTTCTTTATGGCTGCAAAATTATTTTCAGTTATAACACATCATAAACATACATATACAGTTATAATACATCATATACATGTAGATAACACTTAAAACTATTTTTAACTCCGTTCCGAATTCGATCCCCACCACGTCCCTGAGAGTACCGCGCTCAACTTGTTTCTTCGCGCAGCGGCCTTGTTCGTCAAGGTTCGTGTTTCAGAGTTATAGAGTTGATAGAGGGTTATAACCACTATTAAGTAGCCTCCTCGTCTGTAGTGGCCTTTTCGGCCTTGAGGAGGTGAATAAAAAAAAAATAAAAATAAAAACTGATATTTTTTTTATTGGGAAAATGATAAGACGAAGCAAGGGTTAAATTTCATGCATCTAAAGCGTGGGTTTTACCGCTACCAAAAGCTATACAAAGTATTTACCAGACATTCAGGGCCGGCTCGCGGTCTAGGCAAACAAGGCATTTGCCTAGGGCACCAAAATCTCCGAAGGCACCAAATAATATGATATGAATATTAAAATATCAGAATATGTATTCATATTATTTTACTTATTTAAATTAACTTAATCCGTGATTATCAATACATCATTACAACATTGACAGTGCAACGTAGCAACATAAAAATAACAACATTTTTATTATAAATGCACTTGTTGCTTAATATAACTTTTATTGATATTTAAAAAAATTAGTTAGAAAACCAAAAAGCAAGCGGAGTTATTCAACTTTAAGTGCGGAATAGGGGAATTCTAGGGTATGTAACAAAGAAATTAAATAAAAATTCCTTGCCAACGTTTTTAATTCAATTCTGAAAAAACGTTCAATAAAATGTATAAAATTTGTTTATGAAGTTAATACGTGAAAAAGTTTTAAAGTTTTACAAATGTTTTAACGACAATAAAATATTACTTAATCAAGACAACAATATTTTAACATTATTAAGTTTAATAGCTTAAACCAATAACAATGAAATAAAATAAAATTGTACGTAAAAAAAATGGGTTGTTAAAGATTTACATTTTTTGTTCATGTAATGCTGTTCATAATTCTTCCCATTTAACGGGATACTAAAGTAAAATATTTTTCATGGAGTTACTAGAATAATTTCATTTTGAAAGGAAATTGATTTTGTCAATTGTTATTCTATTTTTTTTTATTTTAGAAAAGTCCATGGATTGATAAAAGTTATCTGAAAGTGAAAACCGTAAAAGAAAAGCAGAAAAAGAGCAGGCCAACAAAAGTCAACAAGCGTCACTTTATGAACGAAAGCGTTAATTTACGAACGAAAAAATCAATATATAATCTTGATTTTTGGGTTTTGAGTTAATTTACGCAACTTAACTGATAAGGTTTTACGTTAAATAACTTCAAGTTAAGTTTACTTAACTGATAATGTTTTTAGTTAAGTTTCGTAAAACCAGTTGTCTGGTAATAATCTTATGTAGTCTTTAGGGGTACCACCTGAATATCAAGTTGTTTTACATGATCAAGAAGACATTATTTTATAATAAGAACATTTATTTATAAACTATTTATGTGCCAAAAATTAGATTATTTTGGATTTTTATCGATTTAAACAAGACATCTTAACTTTCAAACGATGTTTTCTCTGTTTAGCAAAACCTTCAATAATTTTTAAACCTTTTTGGTCTAAGCCCGCAATCTATAAGATGACAATTATAATAAAAATGATATTAAGTAAAAATACCGTAAAAACCTCTAATTCCGGATGTAACCTAATTCCGGATGGTTTTAGTAAAAATTTTCATAACTCCCTTAATAAAATGAATTGATGAATTTTTTTTTAATTAATAAACGTCTTTACCAGACAAATCGAATAATATAAAAAAAAATTTATATAAACTAATGCAATCATGAAATATTTCAATTTGAAATCTCTCATAACGAAAAAAACAAAAAAAAAAGGAAAAAAAAAACTTTGACTTGCAACAAAAAAATTAAAAAAGTAAAAACACTATTTTGTGCAGAATTTTATGCTGATTATTTTAGCCAAATATAAAAATTAAATTACCTTTTGAAATAGTTGAAAAAAAAGAAAAACAAATTTGCTACCAGCCAAAAAAAAAGACACCTAACTCCGGATAGAGGTAATTATTATTTTATGTACCTAAAAAAAATAATAAACATATTAGCCAGCAGCAATAAACAAATACACTTTTGAGTCCCGGATACAGTTAATTACAATTGGCTATTTTATTTTTTATCACTTTCATGCTCATAATATAATATATTATGTTTATTAAAGTAATAAAAAATAAAATAAAATAATTGACACTAATCCAGATACACTTATTAATTTTTAGCATCCATAAAATTAACGCATTTGTGTTAATTGTATTACTGTATTAAAGAATAAGGATAATTTTAAACAAAAAGAAGAGCGAGAAAGTCGAATCCAGCTAGCTATTCAAGCTATTACTGAAAAAAAATGTCATACTTACAAGCTGCTAAGTGTTATAATGTGGCAAAATCTACACTTTTTGACAGAACAAAAGGATCATCTAATAATCGAGGAGCGCCAAGAAAGATGAGCAACATCACTGAAGCTATTATTGTTGATTTATTAAAATTTATGAGTGATATAGGCTTCGGCTTGAATAGACGTGTTTATTGTTGTTGAAAACTATTTAAAAGAATAAAACCAATATAGTCTATTCAAAGACGGCAAACCGATTAGAAAATGGTACTCCGGTTTCATGAATAAATATCGTAAAGAAATTTGCCCAAGACAAGTAAGCGGTATGCAAACTATTAGAGCTGTGGCCACACAACCAGCTATAATTGACAATTGGTTTGAGCAATTAGCAGTAGCATATAATGAACATAATTTAGGCGATAAGCCGTTTCAAATATTTAACTGTGATGAGTCTGGTTTGCAATTTGATCAAGGCAAAGTCAAAATTATTTGTAGAAAAGGAACAAAAAACCCTAAAAAACTAGCACCATCGAATGAAAAGCAAATCTTGACTTGTTGTGACGGATTCGGTAATTATTTACCTCATCAAATAATTTATAAAGGTAAACATGTTATGAAAGACTGGTGCAAAGGCGGTGCCTAGAATGTTTATTATAACAGTTCAGACTGGATGGAATCCGAACACTTTTTGTCGTGGTTTGATGGAATCCGAACAGTTTTTTTTGCTTCACGCAAACAAACTTTGAGGATTTAAAGTTCTAATACTTGATGGTCATGCTTCACATATCAGCTTAGAGTTGAAAAAAAAGCTTTAGAAAATTATCTTTTACTTTTGCGTTTGTCGGCTCATACCAGCCATTTTTTACAGCCACTAGATGTTGGCGATTTTAAAACAGTAAAAGGCGCATGGAAGAGAATTATCGAAAGTTATTTGACTAAAAATCAATTTCAAAGTCCGACTAACCGAAATTTTCCAGCCATGTTTAAGGATCTCATCCAAAATGGTGAGTTTAAACCTGAAAATGCACGGAATGGTTTTAAAAATACTGGTATATTTCCACTCGATCGTTCGCAAATTACTTCTAAAAAAAACTTCCATTGGTGCTGTGTTTCAAGCTGTCGAAAACAACAATATTGAAAATTTATTTGATTCTTCAACAGTATCCAGTCCATTAGTTATGGGAAATGCTACCAATACACCTAACACACCGTCAAGAATGTCAAATCGTGAATTTTTGCTTATAAGTTTTGCTACTTTGAATAATGCTGTTCAACAAGTGGACAAAGATATAAACAAATCAGTGTTAAATATGCTTCGAGATCAATTGACACCAACTCTAAATAAAAGAGTTCAAAAAAGTGAGAGAATAAAGCGACCAGCTAATTATAATATGACTTCGGCGGATGCCATAGCTTACGATGAAGCTGAACAAGCATCAAAAAAATAAAAATTAGATGAACAAGCTGCAAAGAAATTTACCAGAGAACAAAAAAAGATTTCCACTGCTACTCAAAAACCGAAAAATGTTCAAAAAAGAGAAGAAAAAAAAATGTTGAGACAAAGTCAGTCGTCTAAAATACCAGGTAAAAAAAGTATAAAGAAAAAGAATTAATTAGAACACCCTCATTTTCCTCAAGCTTCAAACAACATTTTAGTATCTGATGATTTTCTATGTTAGTCTTGCAAAATTAATTGGAC